ACTCTTTTCACGTCTTAGATTCTATTAGTTTCTACTCCCACTCGACAGAAGAACAATTAGCCCCGCCCACCCACCCGGCCTCAATTTCGGTGATTAGTTTTATCCGCTCTGAAGGGATGGAATGATCTTACACTGAACAGAAATAATATTAGTCATTAGAATGAGAAGAGGGGGTGGGCGGGTGGGGCTAATATTTACTATGATGACACAGATTTTGGCAAATGACATCCTACAAGAAAATAGAGGGTGGATGGGCGGGGTTATTATTTGATAAGACAGGACTGATTTTGGCACTTTTGTCATATTCGATCAAAAAAAGTTACGATTAGCGCTTTTTTTACTTTTTCACATCCTAGATAATTATTTGTTGTTGCTTAGGAAAAAATTTTTTTTGTTTAATAAAATTAAGGTTTATTTCTTGAAATTTGTTTTTAGCAATGTACGAAGTTATTTTTCCCTTTCAGATTTTTGGAAAATTCTCTAATCCGAACATACCTTTTTCCAAATTAATTCGAATTATCGAAGTTATACTGTAAAAAGTGAAAATGCAATGTTTTATTTAATAAGCGCAAGTCGAAGCAACAAAAAAGTCTGGACCATCGCATAAGGGCGAGGGAATTTCTGTCGAAATCATCTTCGACCAATTTTTAATACTTGCTTGAGCAATTTTTTGAGGTGGATTTCATCTTGGCTAATAGAAAATTTCTTTTGACTACATTCTTACATCCTTAATGAAATTACGTTTTCTTAGGGTTCTGAAGATATCAATCAAATACCTACCTTATCCTAAGAGATAAAATGGAAGTTTCCAATTACATCAATGTAGCTCTTTTAACAACTATATATTATTCATTAAATCTTAGATACTCGAGTTTAGGTTTGGAAAATTAACTTGTTATTATTATTTGCGAAAAGTTTTATTGTTAATATGAAAACCAAAAGACGCAAACTGGGCAAAAGAATTCATTGTAAGATATTGTATATGCTGTAATTAATGTTTCCTGGAGGAATTAGGCATCTACAAAAAACTACACTTAGCTGATTCGTTAGCTAAATTTGTGATTGCACCTACTAAATTCCTTGGCCAGTTTTAGGACAAGAGAAAAGCACGAACCGTGGGAAAATAAAAATAAAAAATTGGTCGAACGTTGCTTTAACAGAACTTCCCTAGCTCCTGAAGTAGAATGAAACATAAAAAGTAAACAACCAATCAGATGAAGGAATTTAACTCGTTACTATGGAAATTTGCAATTTAACACCTTTTAAATTTAACAAGTTTTTACAAGATTAATAAAGGCAAAATCAGTCTTATTTTAGCAAGTACTAGTCCTACCCACCCGCCCCCTATTTTGTCAGAGGATGCTATTTGCCAAAATAAGTCTTATCTTAGAAGGTACTAGCCCCGCCCACCCGCCCCCTATTTTCTCAGAGCGTATGGTATTTTCCAAAATAAATCTTATCTTAACAAGTACTTCGCCTCATCATTTGCCAAAATGTTAGTATTTGCTAAGATAAGATTGATTTTGGCAACTGACATAATCTTCTGAGAAAATAGGGGGTGGGTGGGCGGGGCTAGTACTTGCTAAGAACAAACTGATTTTGGCAAATGACATATCTTTTGAGAAAATAGAGGGCGGGTGGGCGGGGCTAGTCCTTGCTAAGATAAGACTAATTTTGACAAATGACATCTTCTGAGATAATAGGGGCAAATCTAAAAAATATCAATGCTATCAAATAAATCACAAGTAAAAACTCATCATATTTTGCACATTTTGAGTAGAATTTATTCGGCAAAATTTTGAGATAACGTCATCAGTTTCTTGGGGGAATAAACAGATATATTCGGTTACACGCTTACAATAACTTTAAAACATCTCCACAATTTCAAAGTATTCATTTTTGTAATTCTTGATTTATTGAATAAAATAAATTGATTGATTCATTAATTTTTTTGGGTCACCCTGTATAAGCAAATCTAAAAAATATCAATGCACTGATAAATTACAAGTATAGACAATAGAATTTATTCGGCAAAATTTTGAGATGACGTCATTAATTTTTTCCAGTTGATAAACATATACATTTTGATTAAATGTTACTATGCTTACAAGAACTTCAAAACGTCTGCAAGATTTCAAAGTATTCAGTTTTGCAATTCTTGCAATCAAAATGATATATTGACTCAGTCATTAATTTTTTTGAGATACCCCATATAAGCAATTCTAAAAAATATTAATGTAGTGATAAATCACAAGTATAGAATCATCATATTTTGCACATTTATGATAGGATTTATTCAGCAATATTTTGAGGTGACGTCATCAATATTTTAGGGAGGATGAGCAAATACAATTTGATCAAAAAGTTACCATGGTTATGATAACTTTAAAACATTTCCAAGATTTCGAAGCATTCGGTTTTGCAGTTTCTTACTAAATCAGTAAAATAAATTCACGCATTCATTAATTTTTTTGAGTCACCCTGTATAAGCAAATCCAGCAAATATGAATCGAATAATAAATCACAAGTATAAATCACACAATCTAAAAAATATGAATGCACTGATAAATTACAAGTACAGATTGATCAAGTGGTCATATTTTGGACATTTTAGGTAGGATTTATTCGGCAAAATTTTGAGTTGACGTCATCAATTTTTTGGAGGGAATAAGTAAATATAATTTTCATTAAAAATGTATTATGCTTATCGTAACTTTAAAATATTTGCAAGACTTCAAAGCATTCGGTTTTGCAGATTCAAAATTAAATTGCAAAATCTTGTTCTATACTTTTAATTTTTTTTACAAAAATCTGGACATTTCGGGTACAAACTTAAGACGGAGTCATAAACTACATGTTAGGCCTATGTTATTTTATACATTTTAAAACCCGTTTACTATGTACGATTTTGAAGTGACGTCATCACATTATTGGTGGGGATAATCAGACAAATTTTGCTGAGCGTTTTACTATTTACATGATATTCATAATATAAATACAAAATTTGACAACAGTCGACCCACACTTTAGGAGTTTATCTGTCTAATAAATATCCGGGACGGCAGAACGACCGACAGACCGACAGACAGACAGACGGACAAATGGACAGACGAACAGACGAACAAACGAACAGGCGAATAGACGGATAGACGGACAGACGGACGGACAGACGGACAGACAGACGGACAGACAGACGGAAACAGGAGACCTATTCCTTTGTACTGTCGGGATCATGAAAGGTCGAGAAAATGTAAAAGTAGAGGGTCAGCCGACAGACTCGATTACAATACTTCCTTTACGCTCAGGAAGTAAAAATCCATATAATTTACGCAGTTACCGACATTTCCGAAATAGTTATTTACAAAAAATTCAGAAAAATCTCACATTACTGAATAGGAACTAAATTGAAGTACGAGGCACTTTGTGCCGAGTATTTTAAAGCTCCGAGTCAAGTAAGAGATTTTACTAACGTGTTTTGTATAAAATTTTTCCTGAAATCGTAAATAAAGGACGAGGTTTACAAATTTTAGAAAAAGTGTTTACAAATTTCACGAAAATCAACTTTGTTAATTTTGTTCACCACTATTACACAGAAAACAACATCAACAAAATTTCATTAATTTTGTGCGTGTCTTGTGAAAACAGTCTTAATTCATAAAGTAATGATGAAAGGAGACGAAAATCATTGTGAGGGCATACCAAATTTTCGAAGTTTGGCGTCGAGAAAAAAAAATGACTGCATTTACCGAAGAAATATTTTCAGAATTTGGACATTAGCAACTTTTATAAAGTTGTTGCATATTTAAAGCGAAAATCGACTGGTTACCAACCAAAAAATTCGAAATGTTAGTGCCGGGACCAGATTGATAAATTTTTTCTTGAAGCTCCCGATAAGGAATTTTTATTGGTGAATGTAAGTTGTGACAATGGTTAAAAAAGTACCTCAAATTAATTTATTTTTTTTTATGTATTTACAGGTCGCGCTTATTGTGGCGTTTCGGGAGCTTGTCGATGTGACAAATTATCAAAGATGTTACTGGATGATATTGAAGATGAAGATAACGTTCTAATAGTACACATTCCTGATTCTAAAACAAAAAAACCTCGTCGCTTTGTTGATGAAGGAAATTTTGCTTTGTACGCCCGGTTCGTTACGCCCTTCTAAAGTTGCAACGTATCTTGAATTACCTCTGGAATACACGGGGCATTGTATGTGCCGCAGTTCGGCGACTTTATTAGTAGACTAGTAGATTAGATTAGGGCCATATCGAGGAATCGATCCAAAATAAGCTAGATATAGCAAGAAAAATACAATCAGGGCCAGCAAAAACACAACTACTAGTATGGGCAATAATCCCTCTACAAGTAATGATTTATCTGCTGCGATCTCGCCGGCAATGAGATTTTGACTGGGACTTTTACTGAAAATTTGAAGCTCATATTAACATTTCTAATTAATAGTTTTGAATAAATTGTTCTTTTTTAAAGTATCTTTTTTATTTTGCGTCTTGTGAAGTCTTTACAGTACTAGTCAAGAAAATGTAATTTTCCTGCGCGTAGATTGTAAGACGATTTCCGGAAAAATGTTTTGTCTCTATCCACCACCTTGAAACGCCTGTAACGCGTCTGTAAATAATTACAATTACCGACGGCCTGGGACTTGTACCACGCTTGCATTCCCATCACGAAAACCAGAAAATCAATATCAGTTAAATCGCTGAATTTGTATTTCCGACGTGTTATTAATCGATTTGATTTGGGTATTTAGCGACGACGCCATGAATAATTAAGCATCATTAAGACGATGACGCAAATTGAGGTTCTCCGATATGTTTGTCTAGAATCCCTTTTCCTGACTCAGCCCTTTGACGAACAAACGCTACAGCTTTTAAGGAGTTTCATTGTCTGGTTACTGGGTTACGGGTGAAATTTTCATTAAGGGTATCGATTTCCGCGTGCATAAGTGGACTGTATTGATAATTTCAGGCTGAATGTCTTACCTCGCATGTGGCCAGAGCGCACAGTCCAGCCAACACAATCCAAGTCCATCTGACCACCCGCACTCTGGCCATGCTATCTACAATCCTCGCCCGTGGCGGCTATGCCATCACCACCGGCTTCTCATGCAATCTGAAACAAAAATCCGGGTTTAATTTCAACACAATACGCTTTGTCGAGCTTAATCAAACCCTTTGAAATTTTTTGTCCCTAAAAACTTAAAAAGAGTCCATGTTTGGAAAAAGCCTCAGGAATTTCATGCCGTCAAAAACAAGAGGGAGCTTCGTGCTGTAAGCTTTGGTGAGCTTTGTAATTATCGATATTTACTTTTTGTAGAAAAATTTTAAAATTTTGATTCAATAATAATAATAATAATTGTTGTGTTAAACTAACCAATCCTTAAAAAGTTGTCGAGTTATTCATTTTAGTTTAAATTCTCGCAATTAAGTTTCGAAACTCGTGTTGTTTTAATAACGTGTTAAATTAAATGAAATGATTAAATTTTCGCGGCTTCAGTGCAGCGGTTTAGCTGACGCTTTAACACTTTCGGTGTACAATGTATTCAGCAAACGATAATAAAAAAACAGTTTCAACGAAATAATCCTCGTGAACCTTTGAGTGAATTAAATTCCGCTTTTTGTAGTCTCATTTTTCATGTTGAGATATTTTGGCGAAGAGACGCTTTTACAGGAAGTGGATCTCGCTATCACAATTCTAACTGAATTGTTCATCTCTACCATTTCATAATCATAAGTAATTATTCATTTCTTACACAAACTTTGAAAAGTTAGTGTTGTACTTTACAGTAGCCGACCATTATTTAAATTTGCTTTGCTATTCAAATCCTCATTTCGGGGCCGTAATATGACATTTGGAAGTCGTTCAATATTTAATGAGTTCATGCTCACCCGTAAAAGTAATGTTTATAATTCATTTAAACTTTAGTGAGACTTGTGCTAGATTTCTAATTCGACGAGGCTTGGTTCCCACATATTTCTTGTTGATTGGCTAGAAAATGCCAGCAGTAATAATAATTTTAATGTGTTATGTACAAATGAAATTGTTTTGCTGCTGCATTTCTTAAATGATTGTCTCACTGATAAGAAATTATGCTTAACTACTTAATTTATTTTCTGTTCAAATTGAAGATTATGTCCAGTAATTGACTCGGTTAAAGTTTTTTCGACGAGTTAGTAATTATTTTCCTACATTTAAATTAGGTTGTTAGTCATCAGGCATTTTATATCCGTCCTTTGTCGGTGAGTGATTTATACAACAACAAAACATAATTAATATTATTAGGGTTTATAAAAGCATTGTTCGTTTAAACATACGTTTAAATGAACATGCGATTAAATTCAACACAACAAATTGTTAGGATCAAGTTTAGTGCATTATTACGCATTTAACAACTCATTAATTTCTAATTTTCTTTTGATAAACTAGCTCTTAATGGACAATTTGCGTGAATGCGTGAATTATATTAAAATAAATTGTTAAAATAAGCAACGTTTTGTGACACAAAAGAAATCAACAAGTTTGTGTAACAAGTTTCACTTGTTAAGGATTTGAATAGGTTATGCTTCAGAGGTCAGATCATTTCACTACAAACCAAATAACACAAAGTTTTCGTCTACTTTGATCATAGCGAAAACAATTTAAAATGAAACGGACTATAATTTATAATAATTTGTTACAAACATCAAAACGAAGACCATAAACTGGAATTGCGATTTTATTCACGTTTTGTACGTTATTTTACGATAAATGAGCAGGTAATTTCCGTAAATTACCTTAAATTATAGAAGCAGAGAACGCCTTCATCATGCCTGATTTTAAAGATATGAGAAGGCTAAGCCGGCAAGAGAAATTATCGACTGAGTTTACGTGTCTTCAATTTGAATTTCTCGAATTAATTCCAATGAAAATAACAAAAATTACTAGCGTGTGGAATAAATTCGTCTAGGTTTTTATCAAAGTTGAAAAACATGGACAAAACATGATTATGTTGTGGCAAAAAAGTCTGATTTGTTTTTGTGTGTCTGCGACCTTAAACATCAAAAGATACGAAAGTGGTGTAACAAACAATTTCTGTTAATTTGTTGTTTTTAGCTAAATTAAGCTATCGCAAACATTAAGAAGCATCTATTATTTCTGGTAGCTTAAAAGCAGAAATACTCGCATAGGAAATTAAAAAAAGCTAAACAGGGGATATAAGTTTAAAAGCATAACGAACCACTTTCATTAAAGAATATTACAACAGTAATCCTGTAATATAAAGTGCACTTTGCATTTCGTTTGTGCAGTTTTCTTAAGCACCTACTCAGCTTTTAGGATTTTACTTGTCCACGATTTCCGAGATACCAGATATTACAAGGATAGTGGAATTTTAAATAATGTATACTTAAACTGGGTTAGAAGCGAGTCTAAGTTTAACAAGTTTCATAAAATTTAAAGCGTCTGGTGAAAAACCAATTTACCCTGTTTTAGAATTTCGCTAGATTTGTGCTTGTCCTATTTTATTTAGTGCTACATACATTTTCCAACTTTCACGAAACGGAATTTACTTTGTCCTAAATCTAACTCAGACAGTTAGGTATTGTGAATTTTAAGTAAATCACGGAAATACGGCGATTTTTTAAGTGCCTTTTAAGCGGGAGCATTTCGTTTATTCGTCGTCTTACTCAAAGTATTATATTTGTGAGAGTTTCCAAATATGTATTTTATTATATATTTAAAATCAACTCGACTTCGAAAAGCTTTCACGAAAAGTGAATAAAATCCGTTTTCTCACTTTAGAAATGTGGGTCACCGACTCATTTACCCTGTTCTAACAACATTGGTCACAGAATATCAATATCAGCAAGTGCGACAATAATAGAATTAGTGTCAAACTCGCACTCATTCAAAATTAAACATCCTCACAATGCTACCGTTTTTTTGTAAACATCAGTAATTTTCCTGTCGGTAAAGATAATCGATACAGCACGGAAATCAAAAACACTCACTTCGAAAGCAACAAAAACTTTACCCACGGAAATAAAAAATTTATATTTCAGCCGGTAGCGAAGGCAAATTTCATCAAACGCTAATTTATAATTCATACAAGTACAATATCGCAAAAATATTATCTCACGATTTTTTATTTCTCTCGAAACAACAAATACTTATCAAACATTTCCCAATAGTCTGTCGATTGTATCAACATCACCTGTTGTCAAAACACCCCTTCGAAGCAAATTGATTGTTTGATAACGCGTTCAGTGAAATATCGAATAATTTTTGACGTCTGCTCTAATTGTCAGTGGAAAATAAGCTCTTAAACGGCCATCAGAGAGCTTTTCGTTCTCGTTAGGCGTTATCTTGGATTATTGCCTCTTCAGAAACGCTCACGTCTTCAGAAATAACAATTCCAATAACAATTTTCTCGTGCAAATGTGCTTGAATGGCGCCAAATTTGCCATAACCTCATTACAAATTGCTGCGCGATGGAACAATTTGATTGGCCCTGATGAATATTAATCCTCATCAAAAGTCAAACGGGATTTGTTGTTGTACAGGGAATGTCTGTTGAATATGGATTTTCCCTTTGATTATCTCGATCTGCCTAATTTCCCTTATGCCTAATAATTACCGGTTTCCTCTGCATTTTTGACCAATTTAATTACCCTGTTTGAATCCCACCGTTCTACAATCTCCATCATACTATTTAATCCTCGTTCGAATTTGTTGTCTCATTAAAAATTCCTCTTTACACGGAAATGATGTAATTTGAATTTTCCTTCTAAATAAGGAAAGTTTTAAGCCGCCGTATTTCCACTGAGGTTTAATTATTTTGCGATAAAAAGTTGCTCTTCATTTCTTATCGGGAAAATGGAACTGTCATCAACTTTTATAAGGATGATACGAAACAATGGTTAATTCAATTTCGGCAAAGGTCAAGGTTTTTCAAGGCGATAGAGTGGCTTAAATAAGAGGCAATTTGGGCCACAAATGCTGCATAATTGTGTTTTGTGACACGTAAATATACTTAGGCAGTATTCTTTGTGTAGGTTATGACTTATGAAAGTCTCATTTATAAAAGCGAATCGTGTTTGACTAATAAATTCATAATTACGTATTACTAAACATTTTATTTGCTTTTGCTTATGAAAATTTGGTGCTCTAGAAATTGGTATTGACGTTGGTCTATAAATATACTTCATGTTAGCAAAACTTGTGTAGTTAGATAATAAATTATTTCAATTCGTTCATAATTGATTTTAATTTGAAACACTCGCTAGGTGTTTTTCTGAGCAGCTGTTTTCTAAATCAATAATTAAACCTGACTATTTTATTTGCTGCTGGTGTAAAGAAGTAAATTAATAATTCAGTTAGCATAGATTAAATTTCTGGATAGTCTAAAGAACGTGGGAAATATTGGGTTCTAAAACAACTACATACACCCAGGACTAAGAAATGATTAATTTAGTGTTCCCTTTTTGATTTATCGAACGTAATAAATCCATAATTGTTGAATCACCGGCGACCTAATCATATGACGTCATCCAAATTTTGGTGAGGATGAACAGACAAATTTTGGTTATTTATAAGCACATAAAAGTGCCTGTAGTGTTTCAGCTGACACGTTAATCAAAACTAAGTTTAAAATTGTTCATTCAAAAGTTATTCAGTGTTTTGGTTGCTCTATTTTTGCGCGTCAAAAGATAACATGGTTTTATCTGCTCAACTGGAATGTTTTTGTGGCGGTTGTGGTGTATGTGTGTGCATTCCTCGTTCTGTTGTTACATCCATACAATGAAAAAACTACGCAGCTGACACCAAATCATCGATCTGCGGCTTTGTTTTAACTAAGCTTATTTAAAAGTGCTCGTACATTTCGGTTTCGATATTTTAGTAACGAAAAAGCCGCGTTCAAAGCGCTTATTAAAATTTGTAAAATCACATTTGAATTGTAAAAACGCGTTCCTTTGTGCCGCCAACAAAAATTAATTGGTGTAATGATTGGCACGGCCCGATTACACGTGGCTTTCGCACAAAGAATTTTTCTCGTCGTTTGGTCGATTGATTTAGTGATATTGTTCCCGAAATTTCGAAACAATTTCCCGTCATTAATTTTGTTCATCTTTTCACCTGAATTTCTAAGCCATAAATGATTAAAACTTACGATAACAAGTTTCTTTATTTACGTTGCGCTCCCCTTCGCACGTTTAACAATAATTCAGCGGAACAAATCACAAACAAAAGCACAACACAACAATAAACACTAGGTTTTCATCAAGTTTTTAAACAATACAAGTTTCAACAGCACAATCAAGTTTTTAAACTGGCGCTCGACACAAAGCTCACTTCCAACTTAATTATCGCGTATAGAACACACAGCACTTTTCGACTTTTTCGCTTATTTTGACAGATGTAGGCGAATTTTTCTCGCCACGGTATTCGGTACAAGGGTCGAAGATAGAAGTAACCTTGACGTTTGAATAGGTTACTCAAATAATTTTGTGTATCAGTCATGAATGGTTTTTATAATAGGAAGCTTCCTGCCACCGGGCTTGAATAATACTGCACCGACTAGGATGTTTATTATTCTATTGGTGGTAATCTTGAAGGGCACGTCGTCTTGATGGTGACAGTACGCAGTGGTTCGGTGCTAATTAAAACAAGATCGTATTTTGAAGGTTAATTACAAACACTCTCGCTTGTTATGCAACAATTAATTCAGCTCGTTAGAACGGCAGAGTCGGCAGTTCTATTTTTAGAGATACGTTGGATTGTGGTTGCTGTGGAACTCTAGACATTATTGTACTAGGATTTTTCCACTTACGTGGAAATTCTCACAAAGGTAGAAGATGTCATTTACGTCACTTTTATTTTATACAGTTTGTCCTAAATGTATTGAACAAAGAAATTTGAAACTGAAACTGATGATTTACAGGTAATGACGTCATCTATTAAACACGCTCAGGATTGTTAAAAAATACAGGAAAATTTTTGTTAAAGAAAAAAATCGACAATTATCATAGTGGTTTCAATGTGACAAGTGTCAACCTGAGGGCACTTACTTTACTAAAGTCGCTCTGTGGAAATGGTTAAGAGGTGACAGTTAGAAAATAAATGATTGAGGGTGCTTAGAGAAATGGATAGGGGTGGATCGAATAAGGTCAAGTTGATGAAGATGGGGACGCTTTAGTGTGTTAGTCGGACGTGTTGATATTATTGATATATTTTTTATATAGGAGAGAGGCGAAAAGTTCGTCATACTTTTTCTGACTTTCTTAGTTACGAAGGTAAATGAATAACGGTATTGATTGTACTCGATATACACTTTACCCACTTAAAAATGACATGGTACGTAAAATGTAAACACCCCTTTCCCAACAGAAAATTATTACAAACGTGGAATTATGGATCACTGTTTACACTACAAACACTTTTGTGCAATAAATATAGAACGTACAGTGTGTAGAGGTTCTAAAAATATTTTCATAAGTAAGAAAACAGTTTTCGGCCTGTGCTGAATTTGTATGAGGTTACAGCTTCATAATACGTCAAACAAACCGTCCATAATTTAGATTTTCCACCAGAATACATATTTGTAATGATGGCCAGTGTTACCACGATTTTGACGTTGTGTGTTCAAAAATCCGCCACAATCAATAAACAATTTATCCCTTCTGGTGACAATGGGGCCCTACGGTTAACTTGTTGGTTAACACGAGAGCAACACAGAGATGCGTTAAGAATCCCCCGGGATCGGTTAATTCAGATGGCTCTACCCTTGTAAATGTAAATAACCGGATTAATGAAATGAAATCTGCTATGCAGCAACATTTATTGTTAACGTCATTTATAAGTTAAGTCTTCCCCATCCCCGTTGTTACAATTTCCTTTCGAAGAAAGCTTCGTTAATGAATTCGTTCTTGACTTTTCGCATCGATCGGGAATTGATGTGCCGCTCTAAAAGTTTCATGGCGTTTATTTCCGTGACACAACAGATAAAAAATTTATGTTTATGTCCTGTGACATTACCCCTAACAGGTGTTGCTTGAATTACCATGATGGGTGGGAGTGAGCAGGTCATTGTTGAGCCAAATGTGCAGATTTAAAATTTTTGCTACAATAGGATGATGGATGGTGGATCGTGCTACAATTAATTCATTCCGTCTCATATTAATTTTGTCCGTCGTGAATTTTAATGTCTGTGACCTACTTCTGTCACTTTTAATTCGTAGCTGAATTCACGTTATCGTAGCTGGGTAAAGGTTTAGAATCTTTGAGGATTTGTTTTTGGATTTAGTTTTGGAAGTTGATGAATGGAAATCCATTGTGTGCGGAGCAGAGGGAATTATTCATTAGTAGGGGGATCACTGTGGATTTTTTTGGGTAATAATAATTTTAAACTAAAATTGTTAAACGAAATTTAAATTTATTTTGTTCGTGCAAATATAAAGCGATCCCGTGGACGCAAATGTTTACTTTGAAACAGTTTGGTTGTGGAAATAATGGAAATCACCAGCAAAATAATCTACAAATAAACTAAAAACAAATAGAGTGTGTAATATTATTTATTTAAAGCAATTTGCATTGGAATAATATTTTTGAACAACTATTTGCTGCATTTTTTTAATAATCTAAAATTTTGTTCCATAGTGTATGTTAGAAGTGAGAAAAAACAGCTACAAAAAATGCCTCTGTTTTTTTTTTTAATCGACACGCACATTAAGAAATTGGAGTAGCTGTCAATACCATCACGTTTCTTCCGGGAGTCGGTTGAAAGTCGCAAACAAAAGCGTCTTTTCACCTTGTTTACTTTATCATTAATTTGCAAGAATGTCAACAGATGTCAGTCTAAAATTAGAAATCGCTGAAGCGAATAAATTATCACAAATAATCGAAAAGATCGCAATTTTCTCTTGACAGAGCTCGTGAATTTGATTACCGCCTCATGTCGCTGTTTTCGACAGCACCGAAACCGCGTTTTCATTCATCTTCGTTGCAGAAATTAGCAAAGATTAATGAGGTCGTTATACAAATCTGTGTGGAGTAACGTAATAGCGCTCGTTACGCCTTAATGTATGGAAACTGAGTAAATTCAGCCTTCCATCCCGATGACGACTAATGACATTCTTCGTTTCTCTCCCTTTATAAGTTTAATTAATGGAAAGTTTGATATTTTCCCGATTTTTCCACGCTTCGCGACACATGCTGAATAAATACCGGGGATAACATACAAAGTTCTCCGGTAGGGATCAATGGAAATACAATATTTATCAAAGGTCGGGACTGTATTTTAGTCCTCTATGTAAAATATTCTTCAGGAATCGGGCCCGTTTATTTTCCACAGTTGTAAATAATAAAGGGCTCGCTTGTTATGCCGGAAAATTGTAACAAATGGGGATAATTTTTCCGTGCTAACGGCTTAAGGGCTGCATTAATGAAATTAACTGAGCTGGCAGCACTGTACTCTCATTGTCAGGGTGTGTCCCCCACGTTACTTAATTATGAATGCGATGGAAATTAATAATTTACTTCATACTCCATGACCTTCCCGTATCGATTTTCTTTCATTTTACGCTTGCCGCCTTGTGAAACGGCCGGGAAAAGTTGATAAATAACATTACCGTTTAGATGACATATTCGTAAAAACTAAAAATATATTCGTGCCCTTTGCGTTTTCTCGAGGAACGGACACGTACTAAGTTTGAAAATTTTCAAACAAACTTGTCAATTGTGTTTTATTCCGGGAGAATTTGGGCGAATATCGAAATGTGCATTCTTGGCGTTTGATAGATCGCTGAAACAAAAAGCTTTTTATTTCCTTCTGTCTGTCAGCTGGCGATATATTAGAGAAATAATAAAATTCAAGAAACGAGCAACTAGACGTGACGCTGTTTTAAAATATTCAAAATATAAGGCAACTGTCGTTTTATTGTAGGTATCTCGACGAATAAGGAAGACACTCTCAAGTTATTATTATATATGTCGGTACCTACGTGAGAGATATACCCAAAGGAAGCTTAAGTTCAGGATTAACTAGAGATTTTGTAGTGTCAATTTATGTAATCTTGTTAAAGCTGTTAGGTTTCCTCAGCACGTTATAGTCCAATTAAATTAATAATGATACGCATTTTTTTAATGAAAATTTTATTAAGTACAAATTCACGTCACCGATAACTCCGGTCCGATATGGTCCAGACGCCTGGAGCACTCCACAAATAATCTTCACATCGTTATAACTTCGCCGTTTCCGGAGTATTAATAAAACTTCCCAACTCCGGAGCGTTTTTCTCATAATTAAATTGGCGCAAAATTGCTACAATAAATACCGACTTTGGACATGTACCTCGAAATTAATGGCAATATTGTGAAGTGTTTCCGGAATTATGTTCAGTTGTGGGTGTGTCTTTTTTGTGGTTTGATTAAAGCCGAGGGAGATATCTGCGGCACAAACTCGGATAAGTAATGGCCCTGTGTTAATTTAGTTTCTTGAAACAATTTGGGAAATTTAGGATTTGCAAGTAATTTGCTCGCTGTTAGCACGATTTTGAAACGGAGATTTGTGATTATCGTGTCTGCAGGAGCTGGGGATTTTGTGTTTGCTAATGTTGTGTGCACGATGTTTACACAATGTGCGTCGTCGAAAAAGGAGAGGAAAGCTTTTTATTACTGTGTCAACAATTAATTAGAGCTGTATTTATGCTTTGACAGCCACTGGGGACTTTATTTTGTCACCATTTTTAATAACGGGGCGATATTAAATTATGGAATTACCATAATAGAAGCGAGTATCGTTTCAAGCGCATTATTGAACACGAGAAATCCCAGGGGGAAAATTTTTATGGTCATTTTAATATATCTCGGAGTAGCATCTAACTTGCACAAAAATCTTTATAGAAGTTGGGAGAAGGTTTTGGAAAGTTTTTATTGGTATAAAAGCTGTTTAGGAGCGATTTTAAATCTTTTAGGTAATATGTAGTTCTTAACGACTTTCTTAAGGGGTTATAAACACACACACTACAAGGTAAAAGAAAGATGGTTTACGATTATGTAAATTTTATTGTAACTGATTTAGGGTGAAACGAGAGTTAGAAATAGCACGAAAGCGGAACAAAGTTTTTCGGCGTTTTCGACTAAGCTTGAAAATATAAACTATTTTTTGTTCACAAAGACCGGTGATGTTTTAATTGTACAATACGAGGCGAAATCGAGGGCATAAATTTATTCCCGGTTGCACGTTTTTAATTTCAACCATTTAAATATTGTGTTATCAAAGTGAGTTTGAAAAATCCAATTACACTACTGTTTGATGTAGCGTTATGTTTAATTTTATTTATTAACTTTAGTGCACGCAATTTACTGTTGTAATTATTGTCTACATGACAAACATTCATAAGATAAACAGCTGTTGGTGAAATCCGCTTTGAACTTACGTTTGTGTTTAGCCACATAGAATTTCCCAAGACTATTACTGGCAGTCTTTTGTTGGATTAGGATATTGTGCCCTGTTCTGGCGATAGTTTAAATTGGGTTTATTTTTAATCTAACCAATATAAAATA